TCAAAGAAAAATTGATAATATATTCAAAAAGTATAGTGATTTTCTTATTGTTTATATAGATGAAATATTAATATGCTCTAATAATAAAAAGGAACATATGAATCATTTATTACAATTCATAAATGAATGTAAAAAGGAAGGAATTGTACTTTATAAAAAGAAATCTATAATTGAGAAACAAGAAATAGATTTTCTAGGATTATCAATAGATAGAAAATGAATAAAATTACAAACTCATATATCTAAAAAGATAGAAAACTTTCCAGATGAATTAAAATCTAAAGAACAAATACAAAAATTTTTAGGATGTCTAAACTATGCTGAAGGATTTATTGAAAATCTCTCAAAAAGAGATATAAGATACAAATTCTATTTAGAAAAATAAATACTAAAGGTTGGAATAAAGAACATACTGAAATTGTTAAAGCATTAAAAAGAAGAATGTAAAAATTTACCAAAACTAAGATTACCAGATGAAAAAGATAATTTAATTGTTAATACTGATACCTCGGATAAATATTGGGCAGCTATATTAAAAACAGATTTAAATGAAATATGCAGATATTCAAGTGAAACTTTTAACCAAGCAGAAATAAATTATACTACTCATGAAAAAGAATTGTTAGCAATTATTAGAGGAATAAAAAAGTTTTTATTATTCCTTTTATCTAAAAAATTTATTGTTGAAACTGATAATTCTCAAATTGCAGGACTTATTAGAAATAAGTTACCTATGGAACCTCAATATAGAAGGTTACACAGATGGCAAGTATATTTATCATTCTACAATTTTGATATTGTTCATATTAAAGGAATAAATAATTATCTTGCAGATTTTTTGAGCAGGAATATCGAATTCGGAGATGGATAATATCAAAAATTCATTAATAGACGTCAACAGACGAATGAAATTCCTCATGGAAGAATCAGAAGATATGAAAATTGGAATTGAGCAATTAGAGCAAATGGTAGAATCTATCCAACAAAACGTCAGATTGTTGGTGGAAATCTCTAATTCTCATTCCAAATATACCAAAGAATTGAATGACAGAATTGTTGATATTACTTCACAATTCAAGTCATTAAATACCAAACAGGAAATATCAATTGATACAATCTCAAAAATACAAACATGTACACAGCCAAGAAGCAGCAGTGGACCCAGCAATATCAAACGAGACATAGCAAGTCCCCGGAAGGTGACGATAAAAAATGGCGATGAACATACAAGAGTTATCAGAATCAAAACTGATGAAGATGATGATACCCCTTTATCATCAAAAGAAGANGAATTGTTGATATTACTTCACAATTCAAGTCATTAAATACCAAACAGGAAATACCAATTGATACAATCTCAAAAATACAAACATGTACACAGCCAAGAAGCAGCAGTGGACCCAGCAATATCAAACGAGACATAGCAAGTCCCCGGAAGGTGACGATAAAAAATGTCGATGAACATACAAGAGTTATCAGAATCAAAACTGATGAAGATGATGATATCCCTTTATCATCAAAAGAAGAAGAATATAGATCATTTACCAAAATTGTTTATGAATTGGAAGAAAATGAATCATATTTTATTGCATCGGGAGATCATGTTTATCCCAAATTAATAATTATCAAAGATGCAGACCCTTTCATGGTCAAAATGGCAGCAGATTATGGAATTCTGGATTTGATCTATCCAGGAAAAGATTTAAAAGAAATTGAAAAATTTGATGATATATTCAGGGCAGAAGTTTCAAAATTTGCCCAATGGAGATCAATTTATATCAAATTTTATTTAATAAGTCCTGAGATTGATGGAAGGATATACTATCCTGCTGAACATATTATCACAATTGGATATGTTGGCCGAGATTTCTAGATTGAAATTGGCCGAAATAATAAACCATTGCCTAAAATCAATAAATCATGGATAAAATCCCGAAGAGTTTTGGGGATGAAAGTTTTTTACAACATTGCAAAGAACTTATATGACAAAAAATTCAGATGCTTGTGCCAATATGAAGGATGAACACTCCTTACGAATAATGGAAAAGAAAAATCTACTATTTTGAAAGAATATATCCAGAAATTTGATACTCATCAAATTAATGGAAGTCCTACAACAATCCAAGAATCATGCAGATTGAGGGAGTGCCCCACATGCAGACAAAATTAAAAGATTGATTCTTCAAGATAAAAGATGAATGGAAAAAAATAAAAGGGGATCTACCACTACTAAAGCATCTAGACAGCTGTATATGGAGCCAAAGATGGAGAGGCAATAATAGAGGAAAAGATGTCCCTTTGATGAAAAAGTAAAAAACGCATGTGAAAATGTAGACCCCAAGAGGAAAAAAATAGAGAGGCATGTGAGCCTTTTTTCAAATTCTGATGTATGCAATGATGCAATAGACCAATAATAGTAAATTTGAGTCATGTATAAATAGAGGTCTTTGGGAGAGAATGGATCATCTCGAGTCAGGAATCATTCTCTTTCTTTAAGCTTTGTTTTAAAATCAATTTTTCTGGAAACCCCTTGTATACAATAGAAACCTTGTATAAATCATTATATAAATAAAATTTCAATCTTTTGATATCAGAAAAATATGAGTTTCTAAACTTCCTATCCCATAGATTCTTGACAGATTGAAGAAGATAATCTCTTTCTTACTTTAATAAAGAGAGAATTTTCTTTACTTAAAATCCTTATTCTTAATTCTAAGAAAAGATACAGTGAGGGCAAGAAGCTGAAATAGCAGAATTCCTATTGAGGTAAAAGGCCGTTTGAGGGAGCAGTTTGTAGATTCAGAGCCTGAAGGTCACTCGGTTCTAAGAATACAGATTTAAGATCAAAAGTAAGGTAAAATTATTGTTTTTGTTAAATTTAGAAAGAATTCTTCTAATATATTGAAAGAATCGTAGGGATTATTACTTATCATGTTTGCAAAAACTTATCTATCATGTTATTATTATCATAAACCTTGTAAGGAATTATCTATATGATGTCAGGCTATACAATTAAGGGACTAGATAATCTGTTAGAAAGATTATTAGAAAAAATAAAGAGTATTTTTTCTCAACTAGAAACTATAGATATATCGTCTAAGGAATATGATAATCTTAAAGAATTATATGACAATTATATTACAGATTATGCTAATTTATTAGATCAAATGATGGAACTATATATTAAAATTCGAAATGAAAGAAATAGAAGAATTTTGGAACTATCCCAATAAATCAGGATATTTTGCGCAAAATATGACAAGCCATTTCATTAAGGATATTATAGACATTTTGACAAGAATGAATAGTGATAGGCCATTTAGAAAAATCCCCCCACATTTAACCCCGTTTGGCTCCCATTATTCCCTATTAAATTATACAACCATTCTATACGTATACTTTTTTCACAGCACACACACATGCAAAGTGAGTGGAGTCCACGATTAAATTAATAGTGGATCCCACCTTTGTGAGAGGAGCGTGAAAATTGATGTGAAAAAAGTGATGTATAAATAGATTTTTTGTAAATTATAATTCATTTTCTCTCTATTCTTATTAATCGTATATTTTTTAATAAAATAATATTACACGTAAATCGAAAAAATTTCATCCATTCTTCAAATGATTACTATTTCTCTTATTATAGTGTGAAATAATGAAGGCCGGACGGGTGCTTAATTCTTTAATTAACAAAAAACTGGTTACAAAGCAATTTAAATAGAATTTATTAGCTGTCGTAGAACACCTATTGCTCTCATTTCAATTTTTTCTACGAGAATTTTCCGCTCCTCGTATCAAAGAGAAGCAAGACTAACATGGTATACTTGTACATTATCAATTTATCACATATACCAATTATGACATTATCAGGAGATTAAACTATTGAAGATTAATAACTATTTCCAAAATTAGGAAAAGAAGTCAATATCATTTATTATGCTCTTAAATACCTAATTTAGAAATTTAATAATTCCATAATTTGGATATTGAATCCATAAAATTATTAATATGACTATACTATTCATCCTTCAAAACATTTGGATATTACCTTTTTAATCTCTATATTTTTCTTTTTCTTTTGTCTTTGAATAAATTACAAAGCATAGTTGGCACTACTTAAATTCTAATTAAGCAAATGTATATTATCACACACTTTATAAAACTTATAACTAAGAGCCGTTTGACATAATTTTTACTTGAATTATTCTACTTGAACATAATAAACATCACAATGCCCAAGTGACGCCCCTCTATTGGAGGGATATGGTGTCCATAATGTGAGGGGACACCTGTCCCTCCAATAAGGGGCGCCACTTGAGCATTATGAACACCGTTATAGTGTCTATTATGTACCCTAAGTATTATTATTTTTACTTTTACTTCCTGTTAAAAGATATTCATCTTTCGGAAGTATTTTTAAAGAATGTTATGTTAAACCAACTTTTTTTAAAAGTTCTTCTAACTAAAAGAAATATTTTTCTAAAATTCGCCAAACAGGTCCAAAAATAATTTTTGAATTTCAAATGCTAATTTTAATTTTTCAAAAGTCGTGTCAAACGAGCTCAAAAGTAATATCAAACAAGCCCTAAGGTAATGGGCCCTAACATGGTCTGAAAAGAAGAGGTCATGTGCCATTCACATGGCTAGTTGACAGACTTTTTAGCAATTGTTCAAACTCAAAGTTTGGGGACTCAGGATGCAAAAAACAATGACGGGAGACCATAATGCCATTCGAGTCTCTCCAGTAGAAGCTATCTTTTATGGCACAAGATCACACTCAATACTAAGCTGAAGACATTGGTCACATATAAAGCAAACTTAATCCCCTGTTTGACACTCTCTAAAATTTTTATACATTTTTCTTTCCCTTCTTCTAAATCACACATTCTTCAATAAAGTAATATTATACGTAAGTCAAAAGAAATTCCTTCTTTTTCAGCTACACGTTCTCCCAAAAAATATTATTCCATAATACATTTTACCAAAATTTCTCTTTAAAATGGAGCTCAAACAAAGGCTAATTGTTATAAAACTGTCAACTGTTGATAGATACAGATACAAGAGATCCACCTAAAAAAAAGCATAGATGAGTAACAAGCAAACCTATGTCATAATGTCAATAACAAAACAAAATCAGCAATCCTTTACAGAAACAAAATCAGCAATCCTTTACAGAAACAAAATCAGCAATCCTTTACAGAAACAAAATCAGCAATCCTTTACAGAAACAAAATCAGCAATCCTTTACAGAAACAAAATCAGCAATCCTTTACAGAAACAAAATCAGCAATCCTTTACAGAAACAAAATCAGCAATCCTTTACAGAGTTTTCATTCACCCCAAAAATGTTATACCCTCCTCATTAGCTTTTAAGATCCATGAAGTTATGAAGGTGAGAGCATAGGCCAGCCAACAAGTTTAGGTGACCCGGATGGGGTTGAAGGCTGACTAGGAGTAAATAGGCTCACATCCACAAATGCCCCAGAGGTTTCATCTTTTACCATCGTACGAAAAGATATCGATCCACTCCTTTCCAAAGAAGCTGAATTTCTCCCAGGACTAGTGAGCATACTTGTTCTGGAAGGGCCTTCATTATGAATTAGTGAATCATATTCATCAATAAACCTCATAGCCTCTATATCTCTTTGTAGACTCCTCAAGACTAAAGAATCTGCAATGGGGAGGTACACGAGCATGCAGATGGCCACCACCGCACAACATAAAAAGGAAAGAAAAGCTAAGAATGAAATAGCATCAAATAAAAGTTTATCCGGCTCTGATAGCACAGATAATCCAAGAAGAAGAACTCGTAATGGGAAAAAACCAGAAATAGAAAAGATTAGTGTATACACTCTCTTTTGTAAACCCTTATTGATGACCAAATGAAGAATTTGTCTCCCAAGCCAGAACAAGTAAGTTGTTAGGAGGGTGGCAAAAAGACCAAGGACAACGGTACTCAACAGAGGGTAAGTGCAGAGGGCAACATTATCATTGTCCTTTGTTTTAGAAAAAGCTGAAGCCTTGGTGAAATAAGGAGGTAATCTGTGCACAAAACTCTCCTTGTTATGCCATGTTCCAATTAGAATTACAATCACCTGAAGAACAAATATTGGGAGACAATAAAGAAGCACATAAGCAGCTGTTTTTGCATTCCACCTCCGGCTTAATGTTCCAGACTTCTGCAAGGTTGCACGAAGTAGAAATATGAGAATGAGGATCAGGCATGGTTCGGCAAACCCGAGATTTGAAACAACATAGCATTTGCAAACAGTTTTCTGACGTTTCAAGTTGAGGGAATTCAGGACTCTTCCCTCCCCTCTCAACAGATTTAACCGAATAATCTCTCCAAAACCCCACCAAACCGCAAAAAAGATGAATGTAATTCTGATAATCCAAGGACCACTAAAGTAGTTGAGCCGAACAAGACCTTGACCATGGATCCGATCATGGAAGTAAAACGAATACACGATGCAGAATATACCCAGAAGGACCAGAACAACAACAAGACAAATCGTCACCACACCAAGTGCATCAGCAAGAAATCTAGACAGGGGCATTACCCAATTCACAGATTCTACGCATACTATCCGCCAGCGTGGACACAAGAAATTTATCTATTGAATAAAGGATCCCACCTCAATGCTCGATAGCAAGAAGAGCTAATTCGAAAAATATTAAGGCCCTCCTGTTGGTCCAAAATAATTATACACGAAAACTCAAGATCATATTAGATACTACTCGAGCAAGGATCAGGAGAAAGCAACAGGAGAGCTATCTTATTTTCCAACCTTGGGAGCTTTCAGCCATCATCAATAAAGAGATTCTTACACTAGCAACCATCTTAAAGTTTCCTTTATCAAGAACATGAACTTTTAGCCGAGTGGAAACTCTAAACTGACAACTTTTGCAAATTCAGTCATCCTTGAGAGCTTTCAGTTATCATCGATAAAGAGAAATCCTCGCACTTTCAACTATCTAAAAGTTTCCTTTATCAAGATTGTGAACTTTTTAGCCCAGTGGAAACTCTAAACTGACAACTTTTGCAAATTCAGTCATCCTTGAGAGCTTTCAGTTATCATCGATAAAGAGAAATCCTCGCACTTTCAACTATCTAAAAGTTTCCTTTATCAAGATTGTGAACTTTTTAGCCCAGTGGAAACTCTAAACTGACAACTTTTGCAAACTCAGACATCCTTGCTCTTTGCGAACATAAAAAAATATAAGGTCAAAAGCATAGAACTGTTATAACAAGACCAGAGAGATGCACCATAAAAAATTCAGTAAATAAAACTAAACTGTCTTACAATCAACCAAAAAGTTGTAGAAAAATAACGAAATTCTGAAATGATAAATTAATAGAAACAAAGCAACGTAAAATGCCAACCAAGTGAATCACCTTGAAAAGCAGCCCAACAGAAATTATCCAGAAAATTTAACAGGTTAAAAAATATAGTAGGCCAAGGGACAAATATTAAAGAGAGAAGACAGCAAATATCTAATATCCAGTTTCAGCATTAAATGTCAAAGAGAAACCATGCACAAAAACCTCTGGGGCTCAAGTGGAAACCATGCACTTCATGACAGTTGAGTGTAAATTAAAATCTCAAAAAAATAGTAATAATAATAATAAAATCATAAATGCACAATGTAATAAGCAAATTCAGAAATTTAACAATGCTAAGTAAATCCCACTAGTATCTGTTTGGCCCCCATTTTCGGAAAATGAAAATGGGTGGAATAGTGTTGTTTTGAAAAATGAGTGGTTGAAAAAGAAGGAAAAAATTTCGATTCACGTGTAATATTATTTTATGAAAGATTGAGTGGTTGAAAATATGAGAGAGAAAAATGGAATATAATTTAATGAAATTTAATGGGAGCCAAACGGGGG